ATCTTTGAATTATTCATTGATCATTTATTGAGGATTTACTATTTGCCAGACACTGTGCTACAAGTTGGGAATGCTGACAGTGTAATATGAAGAGGGAATTGATGGGATTGGGCATGTAAAGGGATAACTTTCGTTTTTACTTCGTATATTCCTAAACAGTTACAATAGATTTTTATAACTAAAAAAAATAAAAATTTCTAAAATGCGTATGTGCACATCTTCCTGAATGGCAACCAGGGTGAGTGGAATTGAGGAAGCATCACACACAAAGTGACTTTTGTGCTTGATCTCGATGGGTGAGCGAACCAGGCAGGAAATCGGGGAGGAGAATGGCATTCCTTGAGGAAAGAGCAGCACGTGCAGAAGCATAAAGGCATGCAAAATCCTGGCTCAGGTGTTAAGAGAATTTTCTGACTATAATGAGGGATGTGTCACCTCCCCAAGCTTCATTATCTAAGGAGCTTGTTGAACACTCTCTAGAGGCTTTTAATAATAGGATTGTTTGGCTGGTCTGTCTGGACTACATAGATATAACACTATTTAAATAACCCAATCTCGTTACATTGCTGAATATTCCCATTTTTTAGGTTAAGTAAGAAATTTTGGACTTAAAAATCTGTACTTAAGATAGTCTTTGTCAGAATTGCTTTTGGGCTTTAAATGAATCTATAAAATTTGTATTCAGGGTTGACCTTTAGTAAAAGCAGGAATGACCGCGTTCACACTGGTGACCTCTCAAATCCTTTCCCCCTTTCACCTTCTGTCTGAATGCATTGATGTCCTCTACCCCATTTCCTGTCTTTTGTGGCCCTAGTGCTACTTATCAAAATTGTGTGCAAATTTCCTTGGCTAGCAGGAACAGTTTTTGTCTGGACTTGTCTAGTAATGGATTTACAAAAGAGTTCATCATCTTTGTGGCTTGTGCTTGAAATGCATCATATAATTCATTTCATGATAAAAGGGCTTTTTTGGCTAGGGAAATAGACATTTAAGAAAAGGAGGTGCCCATGTTAAACACAGTGGCTGCCAATTTACCATACAACCCATACAAATGCCGATGTGCTTTTTTTGGTCTGTTGCCTCTACAAACATTGCCCCTGTGTTTTTCTATGCCCTTCAAAGATGTCAGAGCAGTGCATCCTGGAAGCTCCTTTTGGAAAGTTGAGAAAGGAGTCCCTTGTCATGGCTTGACTCCTAGGTAGTGTGCCTAGTGACCATAGCTGATAGGAAAGCTTTCTGACCCCTGGTGGCTATCATCAGACTGATTCGGCCAGATGACATCAATTAGAAATTTGAAACATTCTCTATAAAGGTCAGTTGCTTGCGAGAGTCACAGGAAAATAATCATGAAATTTTAAAACTTGAATTGATTTTTAAAAATCGTCTAACCCAACCTTTCTCATCTGAAAGATTTAAAAATAAGTAAATAAATCCAGAGAGGATGGGTAGTTTGCTCAAGGTTCTCCAGAAGGGCTGAACGGGGAACTCTGGTCACCTGGTCTCTACCCACAGGCTTTTTCTCTCTACCCTGCTGAGGCGAAGGGAAAGGCTCAGGAGCAGCTCAGCAACTTTCTCCTCTTATTTGCCCTGAGTGGGGACATGTTTCCTGATCTCCTTGGCTTTGTGTTTATCACTCATCTATTATAACACATAATTCAGCGATACCTACTTTTTTCTCATTGCCTTTTTTATTGTGATTGTTAAAAATAGATTTTTTTTTTTTTAAGGTGCAAAGATTTCAAAAGGGCATACAGGAGAAAGTATTGTAAAGCTTCTTTTCATTCCTGACCCCTTCTGCCCTCCCTTCTGCTGGTGATTGAAACCAGTTTCTTCTGTGTCCTTCCAGAGATAGTCTGTGCCTGGGCAACAACTGACATATCCGTAAAGACCCCTTAACACAATAAATTACATTAGAAATGGAATGAAATAAAATAGAAGTACAAATAGAAGTATTCCATTCATACTGTTCTTTACTTTCTTCATTTAATTTATTTTGGATATTATTTTTATATTAGTCCAAAAAGATCTGTCTCCTTTTTCAATGGCTGGACAGAATTCCATTGTATGGATGCGCCATCATTTATTTAACCAGTTCCCTGCTCATAGGGAGCAGTGCTCACTGTTTAGCCAAGGCTTCCAAGCCTTATTAAGGCTGGCATTTTTCCTAAGTGTTTCCTTGTATGGGGAGTTGGAGTATGAGGTTCTTGTACGGGGAGTAGAGCAGGGAAGGGGTTAAGGATTATAGCTGATGCAGTAACAAAGCTAGTCTGCCTGAATTCTTAGGGACAGGTTCAGGTAAGGTAATAGGAGAGAAGGCAGTGTCTTGGCCATTGGGGCACTGGACTAGACCACTAGACTTCAAACGTGTGATCTGAGATCTTTTTACCTTGGTATTCTCTTGTAGGCCCTAGGTAAATGTGTGCTAAGCAGGTACAAATGAGTGAATGCCCCTGTCATGTCAATTAAACTGGGGAGATGTGCTCCATTTGAGGTTTACGCTATTACGTATTCTGTCTGACAGCTGTTTCCTATTTTAAAAATTGACGGGGAGGAGGGGAAATGTCAGCGTGCCTGGATGGTGGGGAAGCAGCCACAATAATGACATCTGTGTATCTCTGTGCATGCAGTTGGCTAGGCGTAGCTCACTGCTGCCCACTCCACCCCTTCGTGGCAGTGGAAACTTATGGCCTTGGGTTCACACAGATTGAATCCAAAGCATAAGCAAGATCTATCAGTTTTATACCCCCGTGGTAAGAGTGTATTTAAAGGGAAGATGTTTTTAAAAATGAAATTTGAAAAGTATTCTCGTGCCTCTTACTAATTTTTTTGAAAGGCTCAAAACCTTCTGCCTTGATTCACCTTCTTACATTTTAGCATAAAGGAAAGTTTAGGGAAGGGATGTTTTTAAGTTAACTGAGCAGGTGATTCGGGTATAAGGAACACTTTCTGAGTACCTGCTATGTGCCAGGCCCTGTGCTAATCACAGTACTGCTTGTTACCCAATTTCATTCTCAACAGCTTTGTGAAAAAGATACTATTCCCATTTTTCAGATGGAAAAACTAAGACAGGGGGCAGGGGTTACGTGATTTGTCCCAGGTTAGAAGAGTTAGTAAGTGTAGAATATTCCAACTCAATCCTTTTCATTTTAATCCAACTAAAATGTCGATCAGGGAGGGAAGGCTCAGAAAGATAAAATATTAATACTTTTCGATAAATAAAACTCATTGCTGACAGTTAATAACCAATTAGGAATTATTAGGAAATGAATTAATGAAATCATAAAAACTGAACTGAAGTTTTGCAATGGTAAAACACAACACAAAATAAAACCCCCAATAGATTCTTTGCCTCCCTTCCTACTTTTTGAAGAAATTCTCAATTTTGATCCATTTGCGTGTGAAAGTTGTGGGGGATGGGCACTGGTCAGACTGTGTTTTAGAAACCTGATTTTATTTTGGTAATACCTAGAATAAAGCATTACCCTTTCTTTTGCTCCTCCATTGAGGAAACCACCAGCGAATCACTTTACTTTTCTGGGCGCTTGTTGAGGGAAGCTGAGTGTAGGAAGTGAAATGAAAGAAAATTAATTACCTAATGTTGGAACATGCCTTGAATAAGGACAGTGACCCTAATTGCTCAAGGAGGGAATTTTGAGATTTGAGATAATAAGCAGCTCTTTTCTTGGCCTCCTGGTCTCCAGAAATCATTGAAGGTCACTTATTCTTCTCTCACCTTCAGCTATCTCAGCTCCTTTCTCTGTGTGTCTGTCCCGCAGCGCCTAGAACCTTCTAACTCAGCTCTACCAATAAGGGCAAGGTCATTTATCCCCAGCTTACATCTCATAGACATGAATGTTGACAGAGGGGCAGGGTGGGGGAGGGATACATAACATGTCCACAAACTCTGGGATGCCTTTACCTTCCCATCCGCTGCTCACATAGATGGAAAACTCCCAACCATGGTTTCCGTGCCAGTATTAGGGATGCAGTTGACACAGTTTTGATCCTTCAGGGTTTAATGGAACCCGAAAAGGTAATCCATCATCCCTCTTTATCAGATTATTATTTATTTTAATGGTTCACCAGTGACAGCCACAGTTAACTAGTGAACTGGGAACGTGAATGAAAAAATGATTTCCGGAATCACAAGTAGAAACACGAGTGAAAGGAAGGAATTTACATTCATCTGTTTTCTGAGCAGTCTGGTCTTGTTTTGAGGGTTATAGCTTCTTGGTGAATTTTCCTCATTAGGAAACCTTTAAGAATCTCCTGGGACAACCTTCCAAAGAGAGGCTTTTGAGGACTGCATTCTTAGCAGTGGATGTTTCCTGAAGGCTTTTCACCTATGGGCCCTAAAGTACTGTTCCAAGCCCACAGTTAGGCATTGTTTGGGGATTAGGATGTCACCTAGGGAAGACTGACAGCAGGTGAGCTGGCAGCTGGAGCAGATGGAAAAGGGAAGGCGACAACAGAGCCTGTTTTCATGCAGATGTTCCCGTGCAAAAGCATGAAGGAGCAGAGGGAACAGGTTGTGATAACGCAGCAGAAATGATTTGGTATACAGTGTGTTTTTGCTTTGCTTGATATTTAATTTAGAGATGAGGAGCACACTTAGGGGCTTGGTTTATAACTGCTGAAGAAGGTTCTATCCAGAGGAGAGTGGGACTACTCATTTATTTACCCATTCTTCATGCATTTATTGAGTATCTGTTATCTGCTAAGCATGATCCTAAGCATCAGGCATGCAGAGAATAATGAATGGCGTGGGCTCTGACCATAGGGAGGAGGCCGTCTAGAGAGAAAGACGCAGGAGTGATAAACCCTCTGCTACAGGGCTATAAGAGAAGTGCTCTCATGGAGATTTTCAAGGTACACACAGGGCCGTCTGGGTGAGCACAGGAGTGCCAGGGACTGCATCCCAGAGAAAGCAGATTTTTCTTTTGTTTGAGAGAGAGAGGGACAAGCTCTTCGTTAGAAGTTCACATTGTACAGAAAAGTATAGAGTAAAAGTAACTCCCATTTTTTCACCTTTTCTTTCTCCCAGTCTTAACCCTAAGTGGTAATAGCCATGAAATCAATGGTTTGATGTATTACATTTTTGTTTAATACACATTAAAAGACAGACAAAACTATTTTAGTTTAAAATGTTGTATCTGTTTACCACCTCGACAATCTTGCATATCGCCAGTGATTTCACAGGTCACACTTTGGGAAACTCTGCCATTTGGCTTCCGAGTTAGACGTGGGCAGATGACCGCTGGTCTGGCAGATGGACAGCAGGGGTTACTTTTACTCTATACTTTGCTGTACAATGTGAACTTTTTAACTAAGAGCTACTGCAGTAGGAGACAACCAAGGCAAACTAAGATCCCAAGAATGGCTGTGGGGGAGAGTGCAAAAGACACTGTGTGGAAAGTTCAAAGGCCTAGGGTCCAGGCCTGGCACTACCACTTACTAGCTTGCAACAATGAGCAATTTTATTAATACCCCTCGCCTGAGCTCATATTCTTATCTGTAATAAGGAAATAATAATGTCTACCCTATGTGCTGTAAAGAGTTATTTATTATGAGAATCAAATGAGAAAATATACGCTAAAGTGCTCTAAAACGTCTTAAGCTGTTACACATATAAAAAGAATTTATACTATGAAGTTTAGTTCTGCTTCTTTCCTCCTGTTCTGCGTCACAATGGATGGAGCATTTTATCATGGTGGTTAAGAGCACATGCTGTATTGTCAGACTGCATGTATTTGGATACTGATTCCACCACTCACTCTTTGACCTTGAGCAACTTAATTAAACTCTGCAAACATCTGTGTCCTCATCTGTAAAATGGGGATAATGATAATAACAGTTCCTAGAGTTGTTTTGAAGATGTGATGAATTGTCTGGGAAAATACAGTCGCTCACTGGACAGACAAGGGTTGAGAGACAGCAAACCTGCAAGTGCAGCCCAGCAATCATATTTTGACTGTTAGAGCAGGTGGGATTACATTTCCAAAACTTCACCTTGTATTTGGAACTGTAGGTGTGTATGCAAATGGAGGGGGGCAGCCCCTTCCTCTGAGTGCTCGGGAGTCCCAGGCTTTCCATAAAGACGCCATTAGAGTGGAGGAGGAGGCTGATTGCGATGTGGCTCAGACGAAGGTGCTCTGCATGCGGGGCTTGCAGCCGAGGCAGGGGCTGAGCGCGCCACTAACGCCGATCCTGGTGTGATGGAAGGCACCGGGGAGGGGCCGGGGCAGGACAGGATGTCAGTGGAGGTGCCTAAGAGCAGGTGTGTGTCCTCATACCAAGAAGACGGGCTCAGGGAGTCTATCCACCCTCCCTGCTCTTCTTCAGGGACACTGAAGGAGACAGATGGGGGCTCTAGGAAAGAGTTTCTATATACTAGCCAACGTGGGGCTCCCAGCAAAACATGGAACAGGATACTAATCCACCACGAAAATCAGCAGCTGCCCGTATGCTCCGGGCCTTACAGAAATAAAAAATGGACCTGTTGGAAATTGGGTCAGAAACCAAATGACCTCTAAAAAAAAAAAAGGAATTGAATTGTCCAGCTGAGCATCCGTGATTTTTTTCCTTCTTCAGGAGACTGATTACTCTTTCTCCTCTTCTTCTCTTGTAGAAAATGAAGGAGTACCTGGAGGGCAGGAACCTCATCACCAAACTACAAGCCAAGCATGACCTTCTGCAGAAAACCCTAGGAGAAAGTGAGTGTGGGAACCCTCTGCTAGAGCCTGGCAGTGAGACCAGCTCAGCTTTCTTGCTGAGCACAGGCCTCCATCCTCAGCCAAGTGGACTCGATCTCCTTATTCGAATGCGTTTCTTTTCCTGGCCTGTTTGATGTGGAAGCGCATGCCCCAAACCACTGCTTGAGTAATGGGAAAAGGCCAATGCTTAATGAAGCACTAACATGCATCATCTATTTGTTTAAATGGAGCATGTCTGCTCTGCACCCAGTCCCCCTCCTCCGCCTCCTCTGCTATGGCTCGGGTAAAGGGGCCGAGGGGTTATTCACTCCCCAGACACTTTGTTAAAACTCTCAGTCCTCTGTGGCAGGACCCAGGCTGGAGCAAGAAGGCAGGGAGCTGTGAGATGAGATCCCCAGCTGCTCTGAGGAGGGGAGGGGATCCTCAAATGCAGGAGGGATGGACAGACTGCCACTTTCTGTAGCTTCCAGGGAAAGTATCAGTTTCCTTCTGCTTTGAAGGGTCCTGATGTTGTTCAAGTGCTTTGAAGGATCTCTCTGCTGTGGCTGTGCTCAGGCCATGGTGCTGAATGGACTGTCTCGTCTCATAGGATGATTTTAACCAGACCCTGGAAAGTAGCAAGGCAGAGAACTGGACTTGCACTCTGCAGTTTCTCTCCTTGGCTGTCAAACAGAAGGCGGAGGCTGAAAGAGAAGTTTCCCCGGGGTTTTTTGGCACCCTGCCTGGGTCTCCTGCCTAGCTCTCAGCATCCTATGATTAATGGGATTCCCAGGTTGGGGATGCCTCTGAATGCCCTTCCTCCCTCCCCCACTAATCTCTTCACCTAAAGATGTGAGGGAGAAGAAGAGGAGGGAGGCTGCAGGGAATATGTGTTAACATCGGTGACGGACAAACCTGCACTTACAAAGAGCTCTAACATTTTTAAATAAATTCTTGAGCACTTTGCAGATAAACTGCAGAGTGTAGGAAAGTGTATAATACTCATTGGCCCCAGGAATTGGAGCCCCACTTTTTTTTTTTGAGGCAGAGTCTTACTCTGTCACCTGGGCTAGGGTGCCGTGTCGTCAGCCTAGCTCATTGCAACCTCAAACTCTTGGGCTCAAGCGATTCTCCTGCCTCAGCCTCCTGAGTAGCTGGGATTACAGGCATTCACCATTACTCCTGGCTAATTTTTCTATTTTTAGTAGGGACGGGATCTTACTCTTGCTCAACCTGGTCTCGAACTCCTGACCTCAAGCAATCCTCCTGCCTCTGCCTCCCACAGTGCTAGGATTACAGGCGTGAGCCACCGCACCTGGCAAAGCCCCACTTTTTATACCAGAGCTTCTTACCCACCCTTCTTACTCTATCCTTTTCCTACCTAGGACAATTCCCCCAGATGATTAATTTTTTTTCTTTAGTCTTTGATCTTATGATTTCTATCTTTTTTTTTTTGTTCCCCTCCCCAGCCCCAGATCTTGTGATTTTTTTAGGGCATTCTTTTATGTGAAGAAAACCTGTTAGTTAACTTCTGTTTCTCTTTCCTCCCCACCACCCAAGGGACTCAGACTAAACAGGTTTGGGCACACTGAGAGCCAAACTTTGCTAATAGAAAATCTTTACTCTTGGGTTATCAGATTGCTCCATGGGGAACTGGAGGAAAGGAAACCCAGAACTATTTGAAGCAAGTTCTGGCTGTTATTTCTTTTTGTCAAGACAATCTGAGCATAGCCCATAAGTAAGACAGGGAGCAGGGCCTTGGGGTCAGGATGTGCATGCACACACATGAGTAAATGGCTTTGCTCACACACATTTAAGCACCAAGCATACTACTATGGAGGGACACACACATATAAGCACCAACCGTATTACTATGGAGGGATGAAGGTTGCAAATTGCTGAGTCTAAAGATGACAGATTCTAGCAATAAAGGAAAAAAAATGTAAATCTTCCTGTGTGCAAGTCACCATGTAGTTGCTTTCTGTATATATTTGTCACCATAATGCAAGAGTCCCTTGTTCTTGCCACAGAGGGATAATTGATGTGTATGAATATTCCAGAATGGAAATGGGGCAGATGTTGAAAATAATGGCTCAGAATAATAGTTTTGCAGATGAAAGCTGAGCCTTTGGTAACGGGGTGGTGGGGTGGGGGATGGTGTTGCTCAAGATGAGCTGAACTGTAATCAACAATTAGCAACCTTTAAAGGCAAGGAAAAGCCTTTCCCTCCCTCGGCCCTTGGAGCTGCCTTTCCCGGAGTTTGGATGAGAAGTGTGGGAGGTAATCCCTACTTCCCCAGCTTAGCACCTGCTGGGGTTTGGCCCCCGGTTTAAACAATGCAGGTCTAATACAGATCAACCTTCATTAACTGTGAAAGCAATATATATTAAAAAGAAAGCAATATATATTAAAGCATGGCCCATGTATACAAGCATGTATATTTTTTAAAAACATAAGAACATTTCTTATGAGCTTTAAGATTTTCTGTTTCATTTTTTAAAGCTGGCAATGACCCCTTAAACTATTAGGGCCCACTGTTGGATTGAGAACCATGATTTGATAGCGGTATCAACATTTAAATCTCTCCATTCTCTCCTCAAACAGCTCCTTTTTCTTCTTCCCCTCCTAACCCTAACTCTGTGTGTGTGTGTGTGTGTGTGTTCACCTACTCAAGAGCAAGCAAACTTATCCTCCCCCCCGACACATACACTCCATATACACATAAGAGAAATTGAATAGCCGAATTTTATGTCTGAGAAGGCTTCTTGTGTAAAGTATGATTTGTCTTGCTATTTTTCCCCTACATCCACCCCTGTTTTCCCATTGGAAAGCAGAATTTTCAAACCTAAGGTTTAGTTTCTGGCAACCCTGGACTGGGAATCAGCATCAGAAACGGTTCTTGCCCAGAAAGAGGCTCTGGGCACTTCTGTCTCCTTTTTCTTCTTTACCACTCTGTTATACTAGTGGCTGTCTGGAAAGATGGGCAGGGCGTGGTAATTCCTAGGAGTGGGTCTCCCTTCTTCACCCCTTCTGCTCCAACACAGCACAAAAATATGCTTTTTGCCTTTGTCTTTCCAACAGGTCAGCGGACAGATTGCAGTCTAGCCAGGTAAGTATGGCCTGGAACAGGCCTGGGAGGGATAAAGAGAGGCCCATGGGGGTTGAGCAGTCCTAGCCTGGGAAAGGGCCAGGGAGTTGAGTTGTAAAGACATCCAATGACTTTGCAAAGCAGTGGCCTAGGGAGAGGGTTGTTTCCTTCCCTTTGCCTTGCTGACCCCATCTGGTCTCAGATGGAAATGGACTTTTCTGAGACTTTGGGGAAAGAGCAGATTATCCTTTGCTGAAATAGTCTCAGAGACTCCGAAAAGCCACTGCAATGCAAGGAAAATAAATGTTCGACTCTGGAGGATCCTGGTAACCTAACCCTAAGTACTAAACTTCAGCATGTGGGCTTTGGGATGTCTCTGAGCCAGAGAAAGAAGATTAAGAGATAGCATTTGATCTGATTTTTTATTCCTGGGAAAGATGACAGCCCCTAATTGGTGACTATTGCCGGATAACGGAATATTACATTGCGCTGGCTTGCCAGACAGCATTGGTAGAAGTCTTTGCCTGACACACAAGTATGCAGCCCTCCCAATCTTTCCCCACCTTCCCCTCCCTCCCCGACCCAGCCAAATATTTTCCCTCCCAGTCATGGTGCTGCTGTGAGGAAACTCGTGAGCTGGCAGGGTGCAGTGCGTTCATTCAGCCAGCAGTTCTAAGATGCCTTCAAATGTGCTGATTTAACTGGAGGAAGGGCTTTAATGGGCCGGACTCCTTAGAGACCCTGGGTTAGCCCATTATATCAACCACTTATATCTGCCAACACACACAATAATCATGAGGCCGTTTACAATTATGGGCTCGTTATTTAGAGAGAGCTTCATTTGGCTTTCATGGTTTTGTCATTGTGTATTACAATAAAGATCCCATTAATATACCAGTCTTGGTGACTACAGTCAACTAGTCCAAGGATAATGGCCTAGGATAATGGAATTCCGTGGAATATATCTTCTTGGTGAAAGAGTCTTAGTATAAGTTCACCTGAGGTCCTCTATCTGCAGACGGCTCTGTGGGACTGAAAAGGACAGAGGTGAATTTCCTGCCGCTGGGTAATTTCACTGTGTGACCTTGGGTGGCACTTTTCCCCTCTGTGAACTCTGGTTTCCTCTTCTATAAGACAGGAGCATTATACTAGGTCCGAGGAGCTCTAGAATTCCACAGAGGTTCCTCAGGAGTGGCCTGGTGGCAGGGCAGAGCGATGCCCAGTGGCCAGGTCTGGTCCCTACCTTCACTCAGAGCAGGGCGGCACTGCCCTCCCTGGTTTGGGTGTTGTGCCTCTGAGTCAGATTTCTGTTGAGAAAAGGCTTCTGAGGCTAAACACAGCTTGAAAAACATTGACCCAGAGGATCCCTAAGGTTCCTTCTAGACTGGATGCTCTACCTTTTAAATTCAGAAAAATTGTTTCCCATAAAGATAGGGATCTTGAAGGATTTCCAAGAGGAAACAAAACAAAAAACCCGACAGCATCCTTTGGTGTTTGCCAGTATCTCCTTGCAAACAGAAAGATCTTCTTCCTGTCCAACCTAAATATATTTTACTGTAAATTGAACTAATTCCCTCCTATTCCAATATTGACTGGTGGTAGACATTAAAAACAGGGACCACTATGCTTTTGTGAAGAAAAGAGCTTTATTGGGCTTTATTTGGGAAGTAATTGATGAAGTCTCTTAGCCACTTTCGGGACTGAGCTGAATAATGTAACTTGTCCCATTAACCAGCACACAGATTGTTTTTAATTATTAAAAACTTTACTTCTGGGTTTAAGAGAGGTCATTTGTCTCATTCTATCCCGATTTTTTTCTTTTTCCTCGCTGTTCCTGTCTCGGTCGTCTCTGACTTGGCGGGATGGACCACAGGCGTAGCTCAACTGTGAGGAAACAGGTAAGGGCCCAACAAGAGCCAGGCCGGTCTGGCATGAAAATTGGGTACATCCCACAGCCATTTATGAAACTCCACTGTGGACAGGCGGGATAGACATTTTTCTGACTTCATGCCTGCACTTGGAATATACCATTTAGTTATAATATGCTTACTATTATGGCAACTTCATAGATTTAACTTAAGTTGGAGTTGTCTTGGTCTTTTTGACTTATTCCTTTCCTTTCTAGTCATTTATCCTCTTGCATACTAGGGATTTGGTTTGACTGGGACAGATTGGTCCAGAACTACCCGTGGCATCCTTTTCCAAGAGATCACAAAAGGCCTGCCATTTCCTACATATGTGCTAATATGTTGATAACTCACGACAGCTAATTACCTAAACTAGACAATCTTGCTTTTAAGTTTGCAGATTTTGTTTGATTGTTTCTGGTAGTATAGTCACCTAGATGTATTCCTAAGACATGCTAACAATGCAAAGATTAAGTCTGGTCTAGGAATGATAGGCAGGAGCTGTTCAACTCTGCAATTTTGTGCATGAACTTCAGTGTTGCATTAAAATTTGCTGCTGGGCAGCCAGCTCTCATTACCCATATTAGGAGGGATCTTAGAGAGCAGTGGCATGGATAATCCACATCAGTGGATAATCTAAACAGCACTTGTGCTTGTTTAAAAAAAATTAATTGAAGTATTTTTTTTGCAGTAGCAAATTTGACTTCCTAATTATACTTTATGGCAAATGCTGAAATGATTTTAAGTCCCCTAAGCTTACATCAGCTATGCAGTAGGCAGTTAGCAGGGAGGGGGTAGAGAGAGCTCAGAAATATCTTTGTATCTGCTCAAGGGAAAGCTGATCCAGGCTTTAAAAAATCATTTTGGGTAATTCGCAGCAGCTCTAGCCACGGGGAGATAATCGAATGCGGAGGGTGCGTGGTTTTCGTGGTGTCAGCAGCCCCAGCGTCTCTTCGGCTCATCCGACTGCTCCAGCTGGGTGGGCGGTTCAGCTGGGGAACTCGGATGACATAGGCCTCACTTGTCTCAGCTTGGCTGTCACTATTTTTCCCTCTCTCTACTTCGGATCCCATTTTGATGAGAATACCATCAGATGCAATGACATATTTTTTTTTTAATTATAGAAATTTCATTGCAACTCTCCTTCCTCTTGTTCTATTTATTCTTCTTTCCTTTCTCCCATTAATTTCATTTAAAACTAGTGCCTCCCAGGGATAATTTGTCCAGAAATGGACAAGTTTTTTGCTTTCGGTTCCTGGACTGAAACTGGGTGTCTTGCTTTTAGATGGAGCACATGTGCAAGGCTTTGCAGCCTCCATGCTGGCTGCAGGGGTGCCGGAGACCACAGTTTGGCGGGTGGTCTGTGCCCTTGGTCGGGCTCACCATCGTGGGGAATGGCACCCAACTGGTTTGCATCCTCCTGTGCATAAGCAGTTGCAGGCAAAGAGTATTTGCCTGGTGCTAGATTTGACTGAGAGTTCCAGGATACACCAAAACCCCCAATCAAATAAAGACCTTGTTTTCCTTTTGCTGCCCCAGTTTCTCTCTAGCAGTTCAAATCTACTGGTGGATCAGCAAAAAAGCTTTTCTAAAATGGGCAGGAGGCTAAAATAGTAAGTAATTTGGAAAATGAGTAATATTATATAAATAATCAGGAAATAAATGTTTGTTTACGGCAAATCAGCCAAGCAAGAGAAAGAATTGTAGCTTTTGTTTTTTAAGGGTCCCTAATGGGTTCGAGTCCTTTTTGACCCTGGCGAAGACTAGGTTCAAACCATCCAAGACCTTTCTTTAAAAAGGAGACACTTCCACTGCTGCTTCTAGACCTTCTGTGCTCGCTGCAAGCCCAGCATTTTCTCTCTCCTGGCCATGATGTCCATATCTTCTTTGCTGGCCCTTCTTTCTCCATTCTTCTAAATTTAGGCATTCCCCCAAGGTTTGGTCCTCTCTTGACATCGCTCCATGTTCCTTCCCTTGTCACTCTTGTTCCCTCAGATGAATCTTTCTCCCCTACTCTAAGCATCCTTTTGTTCTATAATGCCCTTTCTGAGTCCTTGGATCTAACTCCTCAGTGATTGACTGGATGTTTATGCTTGAAATTGCAGCAGCACCTTCTACTCTCAGCACCGGTCTCTTCACCTTCCCCCACCACATTCTGATTTCCTTAGCTCCTCCCTTCGCTTCTCTATTTTCGTGCATGGGGACTCTCCATTTTTCATAGTTCTTGAGGCCCCAAATCTTATCTTTGATGCTTTTTTTTTTTCATTACCCACATCTAATCAGTTGTCAAGATGTATCTTCTCCCTTGGTGACAACAGAAATTAACAAATGTAATAGAGGTTAGCCCTGACAAAAACCCTAATCCTCTTACTCAGGAAATTATGCCAAACAATGCATATTTAGACATTATCTGGCTACTTCTCTGATTGTTTTATCTGCAGATCACTGGACTGCTGCTGCTGTACTGTCTTTTCCAAATTATGCCCTACCCTTCTCCCTCCACTTTTAGTTTAAAGTTTCCTTAATCTGCTTGGATGGGAATTTGGCCTGACAGTCCTTAAAAGCCCCTTCCAAACCTGAGGTTATATGACCAAAAATAGTACATATAAAAGATTAAACTGACATGGATTCTAACATTGGTGGAGGGAAGCAAGAATGAGAAAGAGAAAGACAGACAGTGAATAAAAACATATAGCCCCCACTTGGTCATGGCCAGGTACGTGGCTCCCTCATTTAATTCCAGCACTTTGGGAGGCTGAGGCAGGAGAGTCGCTTGAGGCCAGGAGTTTGAGACCAAGAAACTGTTTGGTCAGCTGTATGCAAGGTCAAGTGAAGTGCAGGTCTTCGGGACACCACAGGAGCACACAGGCACATCTCAGGGAAATAAATGCACTCATAGCTCTGAAACATCACAAGGAGAGAGGAGGGTGGCAGGAGCATTCAAAGCCTTTGTAACTTTGCCCATTTTCTGCTTCTGCTGGACTCTATCTTAGCCTACATTGGAGAGGTGGGGACTAGGAAAATTCTCTTTTGCAGTAAGACAGGCCATCTCTAGCCCACCCTTGTCTGCCACAGATTATTAGGCTACTTCTGAGTGCTACTGGTAACCACGGACATGCAGGTTGATATCTTGATGCTCTGTTTCCTGCCAACGCTTCATATTTACCTTTAACTACCATCGATATTCCATTTCCTACAGGTCCAGGCAGAATTTTATGCTCACATAACTTGTTGAAGCCAGTAACCCGTAAACTTCCCAACTTTCCTCCCTCTGGGTCTTTATGTACAAGTCTGGGACCAGCAAAACTTTACAAATTCTCATATCACTATTCTTGTTATCCCTGCTGCTACTATTTTTTTTGTAATTTTTACTGATTCATAATAATTGTACATATTTATGGGGTGCATGTGATATTTTGATACATGAATACAATGTTCAATGATCAAATCAGACAAGTTGGCATGTCCATCACCTCAAATATTTATCTTTTTTTGTGTTGGGAACATTCCAGATCTTCTCTTCTAGCTGTTTTGAAATATACAATAAATTATTATGAACCATTGTCACCCTGCTATGCTATCAAACACCAGAACTTATTCATTCCAGCTAACTGTATTTTTGTACTCATTAACCAACCTCTTTTCTTCCCCCAACCCCACTTCCCAGCCTTTTGTTACTATCATTCTACTCTCTACTTTCATGAAATCAACTATTTTAGCTCCCACATATGAGTGAGAACATGTGATATTTGTCTTTCTGTGCCTGGCTCATTTTATTTAACATGATGTCCTCTAGTTCCATCATCTTGCTGCAAACGACAGAATTTTGTTCTTTTTTATGGCTGAATAATATTCCGTTATATATGTGTGTGTGTGTGTCTCTCTCTTTCTCTCTCACACACACACGTGCATGCACCACATTTTCTTTATCCATTCACCCACTGATGGACACTTAGGTTGCTTCCATAGCTTAGCTATTGTGAATAGTGCTTCAGTAAACATGGGAATGCAGATGTACTGATACTTTGATAAACTGATTTTCTTTCTTTTTTTTTTTCTTTGTTTTGGATATATATCCAGTGATATATAGGATCTATGATTGCTACATCATATAGTATATCTATTTTTAGTTTCTCGAAGGACCTCTATACTGTTTAACATAGTCACTGTACTAATTTACATTCCCACCAACAGCAGTGTAGGCTCGTTCCCCTTTCTTCACATCCTCACCAGAATTTGTTATTTTTTGTGTTTTTGATAATAGCCATTTTAACTAGGGTGAGATGATATCTCACGGTGGTTTTGATTTGTATTTCTCTTGATTACTGGTGTTTAGCATTTTTTATATGCCTTTTGGCCATTTGTATATCTCTTTTGAGAAATGTCCACTCAGACTATTTGCTGATTTTTTAACCGAATTATTTGGCTTTTTGCTATTGAGTTGTTTGAGTTCCTTATATATTGTGGTTATTAATCCCTTGTCAGAGAGATAGTTTGCATAGATTTTTTTCCCATTCTGTAGGTTGTTTCTTCACTCTGTTGATTGTTTCCTTTGCTCTGCACAAGTTTTTTAGCTCAATGTAATCCTATTTGTCTATTTTTATTTTTGTTGCCTGTGCTTTTAAGGCCTTATCCAAAAAATCTTTGCCCAGACCAGTGTCATAAATCATTTCCCCAATATTTTCTTCTATTAGTTTCAGGTCTTACATTTAAATCTGTAACCCCTTTTGATTTGATTTTTGTATCTGGTGAGAGATAGAGGTCTAGCTTCATTCTCCTGTTGCTACTATTTATAAATGAAAAATACAGTAACAGAAGTCTGTAACCATAAAAAGCCTTCCCCAAAATTGAGACTTTTTTGGCTTTTTTATAGTGGAACCCAGTTTCTTCATTACAGTAAGGAAGAAAGACAAAGATTCTTTCTCTAAGAGTACCCTACCTGACTGGCAAAAGTCAGTGATACCGAGAAGAGGGCAGACACTGGCTGCTGTAGCTGGAAAACTAGAGGAAGCAGATGGGTTTGGGGGTCACGAAGATGAGCATTTGGGTTGCTGAGACCTTCCTGACTCCAGCTCCACCTTGGCTCGTGCAGTACTCCCTTTGGCAGCATCTCTAGTTCCCGGCAAGCTTGGGAGCTAGAGGCTAAGCCAGCTCTTTGCTCAGCCTGACTTCTTCATTATACCCAGCTGCTTCCCTAATAGTGGCCAAAACCCCTGGCTACTGTGGAAAATTTAGGACCAGGGGAGGGGCACAGGGAAACCCGTGAAATGGGCAGAAGTCACGTGGACCCATACCACTTGAGAGTCCAGTGTCTGTCCGTCTAAAGCCCTTTCTTAGTTCGGTTTCGGGCGCCTCTGCCTGATCTCTTTCACACAACTGAAATATTGTGCATTTAGCTACATTATAAAACCCTACTAGTTTTTAGTGATACTTAATATGTACACCTGGCAATATTTGCTGAACTCCTAGGGTACAGTATGGTAGTGTTCAGTCTCAGAGGGAGACTGCCTGGGTTTGAATCCTGAATTTACCATTTACCAGCTCTGTGACCATAAGCAGCTATTTAACCTCACTGAGCCTTCAGTTCCTCATTTGTCCAATAAGTTTAATAATAATAATAATTAATAATAATATGTACTCTATAAGGTTGTTACCAGAACCAATCCACCTAAAGGACCTAGCAGAAACTAGGGGAGGAGCAAACTATGGAAATGGAGGCAAAGGCAGGATTCCAGATATGCAAGGCAGCGTGAAGAGAGTAATGAGAGGTCTTTGAGAGAGTTTAAATGATGGGATCACCTGACCACTTTGTGAAGGAAGAGAAACGTAGATGGGAAGATGGCAAGGGTGGGAGTTGAGATATTGGTGGCTAGAACTAGGTTGGTAGCAGTAGAAATGGAGAGACGTAAATGGATTCGAGAAATATTTAAGAGGCAGACTTGAGAGAATGACTGATTGGATGGCCAGGGGCAAGGAGCTGGTTTGGGTAAAAAATGATCAGTTCTGTTTAGGACATGCTGAATTGAAGGCGTCTCTGTGGCTTTCCAAGTTGGCCGTTGTGTTTCTGTACGCTGGAGCTTGGAGGACAGGGAAGGTGCTTCTTTGTGGACTGGCCACTGATCCGACTGAGACATGTTACGCACTGTTTGACCCATTTTCTCTGACCCTGGGCTGTCTCTCTTTGAAGATTCTAACGTGTTTCTCTTTGGCTTTTCAGGACTCCAGCCAGGCAATTCCTCTGGTGGTAGAAAGCTGTATCCGGTTCATCAGCAGACATGGTAAGCAGGATTACAGCCTTGCCCATATTTGTGCAAAGATTGGGAAGAACTTCCAGGAATTCTTTGTAGAATAAGAATAGAGATTGACTTCCCATCCTGACATTCTCAGAAAAGGAATAAATTTTTATTTGTTCACATAATATTTGCTACTTCGGAATGGCCACACCTAGGCATAGAATGACATCATATGTTTGGACCCAAAATGGATTCAGCCACTTATCACACGCCCTTTTTTCTAATTGAGAGTGAGTTTTAAATTGCAGCTGTTATGTGAATAAGTACAGCTGGTGTTACATGGTGGCAGCAGTTTCACCATTACTCATGGTCTTTGGGTGCGTAGGTAGCTCCCACCACACAGCTGACCGCTTTGCTACATTGGCTTTCTGTATAAGACTGGTTTGAAAACAATTCCTTTTCTAATGTTGCACTGATTACTAATAATATTCAGTTTTTGCTCTAGCTTGATCTCACTGAATACAATGTCCCCAAGAGCTTAGCTAGTAACTGGTCTTAAAGTTGTATCTAACTTTGGAGAGCCTACAGGCGCTGGCTCTTTCTTCACCTAAATCAAATCACGCTATCTTCTGCTTGGATGAAGCTGAATCTCATAAGCTTCATTCCTCACCAGCTACTGGTCTGGTTGGACAGAATTTAGGGATGGAGATAATTGCCAGAGAATTGATTTTCCAAGTGTAAGAGTGTTTAGAAAGGACAAATATCTGAACTAGTGCTACCAAGATTTCTAGGAACTGGGCGTCAGAAATTGTTTTTAGATGCTGTCCTGTCCAGTGATAGGAAAAACGACAGAATGACCTTCCTGGAGCTAAGGAAGTTTGTAAAATATTGCTTGTCTAAATTCAGAGGCAGCCAATCTCTCTCCCTCTCCTTGCCATCCTCTCTCCCTCTAAACTGGGGCATTTCTCAGGTTCATTTTTGAAATAGTAATTATTTTAGCATGTTTACAATTTACCTCATTTTAATCAGCTAGTTTTTAAATCTTATCTCTATTCACTTGAAGTAACAGCATTGCATATCACTATTGAACAGTCAACAAATATTTGTCAAATCCCTGATCAATGCTGAACACCATGCATTGCCAAGTAGGAAAAGAGAAACAGCAATAATACACTATTCCTGTCTTTAAGTGGTTTTATGATTCACTTGGGAGAAAATAAGTAAGCAAGTGATAAGTTAAATAAATAGAGATAAGCTGTGGTAATTCAGAATAGCAATATAAGGAATTTCACAAGATAGTAATGATTAATGGTCAAGCAGTTGGCAAAGATAAGTCCAAACTGAGTTCAGAGGAGGAAGAATTATTTGTGCCTGAAAGACAATAGGAAGAAGAAAGTGTGAACTACTACTATTCATTCATCATGCATTTCATTCACTCATTCAACAAATATATATCGATTGCTTATTGTGTGCCAATAAAAAGTTTCTGCCTTTATGAACCTTATATTCCACTGAAGGATAGTTAAACAGATGATCAGTTGATTAGCCAATAAATACGGCGTGTCGGGTGTCGGTGAGTGTCATGAGGAAAAGTAAAGCAAAGTGAGGGGATGGAGAAGAGAGAGGGGACACTCTTCTAGGTGGGTTCAGAGGAAAGGCCTCTCCTGAGAAGAGGACATTTGAGCAGAGTCATGAGGCCATGAGCCATGTGGATATCTGGGGGAGAGCATCTTGGGGAGAGAAAACTGCAAGTGCGGAGACCCTTGATATATGCAAGGAGCGGCATGCAGGAGGCCAGTGGGGCTGGAGCAGCGTGAGTGAGGAGGGGAGTGACAGGAGATGAAGCTGGAAGCCAGACTCTTAGGGCCTCATAGGCTAAGATAGGTGTTTGGATTTTATTCTGAGTGACATGGGAAGCCATTAGAGAATTTTGAACAGGGAATCATCTTTTTCAAGGGTCCCTGGCTGCTGTATAGACAGACACAAGGCCGTAAGGAGAAAATAGGAAGCTACTGCGGTAGCCCAGGGAAGACATGATGGTGGCCAAGTCTGGGGTGTTAGCTGAGAAGTAGACAGGTTCTGGAAATTGTGCTTGAATGTACCTGTCTCTGTCCCTGTACAGGCACAGTGCATGAGGACACAAAAATTTAGCACGTTTTTGTGGTGAGGCTCTGGGGAAACAGACACACTTATATGTTGATAATGGGAAGGCAAGCTGGTACAACCCATTTGGAAGAGAATTTGGCAGTATCTAACACAACTACATATGCACTTATCTTCTGATCCAGCAATCCTGCTAGGAATTTACTGTGAATATACAACTCTAACGATGTAACAATGATGATAATGCACAAGATCATTTATTGCACACTGTGTGCAATTGCAAAATATTAGAAACAGCCTAAATGCCTTTACATAGAACAGTGGTTGAAAAAATGAATGGTACATCAATTCAGTGGAATACTATGCAACTGTGAAAAAAGAATGAGGAAGATTTCCATGAACTGACATGGAGAGATTCCCAGGATATGCTCTTAAGTGGAAAAACAAAATAAAAAAGATTATCTATAGTATGTCACCTTGGTAGCATACTATACAGATGCTCCTTGACTTATGATGGGATTACTTCCTGATAAACCCATCATCATAAGTTGGAAATGTCATAAGTTGCCGGGCGCAGTGGCTCACACCTATAATCCTAGCACTCTGGGAGGCCCAGGCGGGAGGATCATTTGAGCTCAGGAGTTCGCGACCAGCCTGAGCAAGAGCGAGACCCCATCTCTACTAAAAATAGAAAGAAACTGGCTGGACAACTAAAAATATGTAGAAAAAATTAGCCGGGCATGGTGGCGCATGCCTGTAGTCCCAGCTACTCGGGAGGCTGAGGCAGTTGCTTGAGCCCAGGAGTTTGAGGTTGCTGTGAGCTAGGTTGATGCCACGGCACTCTAGTCCGGGCAACCAAGCGAGACCCTGTCTCAAAAAAAAAAAAGAAAGAAAATATCATAAGTCAAAAATATGTTTAATATGCCTAACCTAACAGCATTGCTTAGCCTAGCCTACCCTAAACATGCTCAGAACACTTACATTAGCCTACAGTGGGGCAAAATCATCTGGTAACACAGTGCACTGCAGAGTCCTGGTTGTTTCTCCTGGCGATTGCGTGGCTGACTGGGAGCCGTGGCTCACTGCTGCTGCTCAGCATGGCAAGAGAGTATCGTACCGCATATCGCTAGCCCAAGAAAAGATCAAAATTCAGAATTGAAGTATGGACTCTACTGAGTGCGTATCACTTTCGCACCATCATAAAGTCAAAACATCATAAGTCAAACTATCCTAAGTCAGAGACTGTCTATATAGACACTATTTCCATTTTGTTATCTTTCATGTAAAAAAGAAAAGGATATATGCATATATATACATTATGTATCTTCTCATTTCTGCAAAAAGAACTACAGGAAGGATGAATCTAGAAACTAATTAATATTTGATTGATTTTCTACAGGGATAGGTGAGAAAGGGGTGAAAAGAATGGAGCAATGGGATACGGGAGAAAAGTGGCCTTTCTCTTAGCATACCTCTGTGTCATTTTGGCTTTTAGAACTATATTCATGTCTCCCACAGTCAAAAGATAAACAAGTAAATAAAGCCAGGATGTGGGTAAAACCCAAAATAGAAGGCAAACAGTAACAAATAAACCTAATTGTATTACAAATGAATAACATAACCACGCTGAAGGGGGGAATGAGGAAGAAAATAAGTAACCTAAGTAACTTTAGGGGAAAATAGTATTTTGGCTACATACTGTAAGTCTAAAGACAAAAAGAGCTGTAAACAAATATTGTACAGTAGTTTCTCATTTTTTCATCACAAGGGTATGGATTAACAATTCTGGAACTATTTTATGTGTGTTCTAGCATTAAGCAAATAAATATATTGTCAATTTTTAAAAAAAGACTTAGCACATAATAGCTGCTCAAAAAAAAAATATGTTCGGCTAAATTGAATTTTTTCCCCAAATAGAGGCTCAAGATATTCATGGACTCCCTGAAAAGCTATGGTTAATTTTTGTGTCTATGTGTTTAATGGTGATAGGGTCCACAGTTTTTGTCAGTCTCAATAGAGTCTGTGGCCCCCCAAATGCTGGGAATTTTCACATCCTGACTCTCCTCAAATCCCTTGGGAGGTGGATATCATTGCCTCCAGTATATAGAGGAGAAAGCTCAGTGGTGGCTGAGGGTGATCCAAGAAGACTTACGGGAGGAGAAGTGATGTGAGGAACAACGCAAACTGAATCATGGGGGAAAAATATCCCACCATTTTCACAAGGAAGGGAGAGAAGTAACGTGGGCGTGAGGTGGCCATTGTAGCTATCATCTCAGGAATTCTCTAGGAGAGTAACTCTTGGCAATGGCTGGATCCAGCACAAAATGGAAGGGTTTGTGCCATTTCCCAATAACTTATCCAAGTCTGATGGGTTTTATACTTCCATGGTAGGTGTGCACCGAGAAAAAGTTTAAATGATCGTGGATGTGTCACTTTGGTTATGCAAGGATTTACCTGCATTATAATACAAAGCCAACTAGTTTCTCCCTTTACTCTCTGGAAACCAGACACTTATTAATGCTCCTGCTTTTCAAAGCATCAGATTAGACACTAAAGATTCTGTCTGTCGAGCAAGAACATACAGTGGTCCTTCTAAAACATAGGTTCTCAAAGGGCAAACAAACCAGGCCGAAAGAGAGTTCTGTGTGTTCAGGCCTGCAGCCTGGCTTCCGATGAGCTCTCCTCTCATTTCATCTTATCCTGGGCCCTCAGGCCAAGGCTGCTTTTCTTCAGTGATCTAAGCCACCACAAAGTACGGAGGTGACCCTCTCTCAGGGAGTAGTGCAGTGGCTTCACCAGCTAGAACACTGAGTAGCCTGATTTCTGAGATGACATTTCCTTATACTGTGTTTCTGACAAGCCATTGGTACGTGACTGTTTGTCGGGAGCACTTGCTGTTGACATTCTCTGTTTAAACATTATCTGGCTCTTATATCCCATTGGTTACTAATATAGTACTATACGATTACACCAGTATTAATGGGGTTTTAATGTCGCCTGCCACACTGTGAGAAATATTCTGGAGATTCCCTTAGAAGGAGGAGACAACTTAAGTCCCATTACAAATCAGGGAATCACATTTCCTCTGTTTA